TCCTATACCAGTTGTTTTCTGATTCCATTCTATTTGAGTAAAAATAGAAAAACTTGATTCCCTTGACCTGTTTAACGTCTCTTGGGAGTAGTTGAACACCTGCTGCTACCTGAACAATGTTGAGCTCAAGACATAACTTCAGACTCAAAAGTGAGAAGTGTTGATGTGAAGCACATATATGCTCTCAACTCTTTTATGCTACTTGTGTTTCAGAATAATTTGCAGCATACTTTTAAAGTTGAGAATTATACTCTCTGGACCATATTGTTTAATCCCTGTGGGCTGTTTCTGTTTCTTCAGTCATGGTATTTAATATGATAAAATAGTTATAATCACCCCTGAATTAAGCTTAAAATTAATGAGATGACCCTTGACATAAACAGGTTCTGTCAAACTCAAGTCATTTGGATCTTGAATTTCCCTTAGGACTGCATTGAATATCTTTTATAATGCTGGTGATCCTATCATTTTCACACCTTTTATATGACTGAGCATTTGACTTTTTCGTGACTAAAACTGCATTCTAATTGTACCCGTCCTGTGGAAGTGACTAATAGTTTAATGAATGCTGTATCCTTTGTCATAGCTGGGCTCTGTTTGTGCTTGTCAGGATCTTTTGTTCCACAGGCCTACTCTGTGTACCATGTGGGTCTATGGGGTTTTTGTACTTCATAAACAAAATGGATTCTGTTGTTCTCTTGTGATAAAAATGTCCTTCTCCTCCCAGGGTTCATCTGTGATTCTTCCTGGTTTTTGTTTTCTGTATGATCTGCATGGCTACCTTCAAAGTCAAATGTTCTTTCGATTGCACACTCATCAATAATTTCAAGACTAATTCTGTCTCTTATGAATTCTGATTTCAAAGTTCCAGAGGCATAGATTTCTAATAATCTGTAGAGATAATTAACAAAATTATCAAAACCAGGGATTCCCCTGATTGCTGAACTCACCTATTAAATCTTGCTGTTTCAAGACTTTTTTTTCTCTCAAGATTAAAATAACATTTTCCCATCCTTAGTTAAGGTACTGGAGGATTGATACCTCCTTAGCATTATCACTGTCACTGACACTGTTCGTTCTGCTCTGGAGTACAAAGATTTGAAATATTCCTTTTGAACATATGTCAGCTCATTCCCTGACATTCAATTTAAATCTGCAATCACAAATTGTTCTGCAAGCAGTTTTGCTGTCTGAGAAACTTCAGTTAACCATCAGATCTTCATCAAAACTATCTATGCCTTTTTAGTGTTTTGTTAGTTTATAATATCAGCAGTAGATACTATTAAATACGACCATATATTTACTTGTTCAGCATATGATTTAATGTTAAGTTTGAAACAGTTCTGTACCTTAAGATCTCTTTTCTCTAAGATGTCTAATCCTGTGATCAAACAAAGGTAAATCTCAAATGCAGTATTATTTCTCTTGCTGTGTCTTCATACTGTGATTATTTATTCTTATCACTTTATATTTTACATTCGGCCATATCTCTATGATACTGTGAATTTTGTTTCCCTTGAAGACTTGTACTTCTGTAAACAGCAATTATGTTTTATCTTATAGTCATAGAGTCATAAAGTGGTACAGCATGGAAACAGACTCGTTTGTCTAACTCATCCATGCTGAACAGATATTCTAAATTTGGCACATATCCCTCTAATCCCTTCCTATTCATGTACCCATCCAGGTGCCTATTAAATGGTGTAATTGTACCAGTCTCTACCACTTCCTCTGGCAGCTCATTCCATACATGCACCACCCTCTGCATGAAAAGGTTACCCCTTAGGTCCCTTTTAAATCTTTCCCCACTTATCTTAAACCTGTGCTCTCTAGTTCTTCTTAGTCTTTAAGCTTTCAAACAGTTCAGAATTCCAATACTATATTTGTTTCCTTTTTTTTTTTGAAGCTTTTAACTAGACTAAATAATGGTAAATAACTGTATACTGGTGGGCTTTCCACATCACTGTGATCAAAATAGAGGTTTCCCACATTCTACAGGCAAAATGGACATTTCTTGATTTTCCACAGGCAAAATGGATGTGTTCCCGCCTTTCACAGCCTGATTCATAATGCATGACCTTTCCAAATACAGTCTTGCGCCTGCATGCTCCTGCCCAGAACCGCTATTTAAATTATTAATCTTTCAATGTATTTTTAAAATCACTATTGGAAAGTGTATGTCGCTGGCTGGCCAAATATTTATTCCCCATCTCTAGAAGTCCTTGAGATGATGGTGGTGAACCTTTGCAATCTATTCAACATTGTAGTCTCAAAAGGGTTCTTCCTTTGGAATCTATCCACTTTAGCTTGGAAATTTTCTCTTTTGTCACCATTACACTGATTTCTGATGCTTTCAACACTGTGACCTAAGCACGAAGTACTCTTGTGGCCCTTGTTTCCACTACTGTAGCTGTGTCTCTTGGTGCCTGTTCACTATAACAGCACTATAACATTCAATGTGAGCTATAAGTACTCATTATTTTAGCTTCTAGCCCTCTTACCCTGTTTGATTTTTGTGCCATTAATTTAAAGTTTCTCCAATTGCCCTACAGGGATTTTTAACTTTACTTTTGAAGCTCCAATATATTTGCTTCCTAACTGAGAATGCTTTCTGATGGAATTTGTAACTGTCAGATGTGATTATTCTTTAAGATTTTGCATCCACACACTTTAATCTGCCCATCTTACCAGGACAGACATAATGGCTTTAACCTGAAGTGAAGTGCCATTTCTTTCTTGTTGGTCTTTACGTGAGTTCTTGCTGACCACTTGCTTGTTCAAATTCTGACAGCTGCCGACTGTAATTCTTAAAGCTACAAAAAGTTTAAAACTGTACACTTACTTGGTTTCTGGAAATTTCAGCCCGGAGGTAAAACAGAATTTTATGCTCTTGTGCCTTGCAATATTCAATAATGTTCACTGCTGATCACCAACTTGTATTTATCGGTAAAAGAATGCTGCAACATTCCCCTTACCTTGACAAATGTATAGCCTGGTATTAAAAAGAACATAAAGCTTTGTTCTGACTAATCACAGAGGCTGAAAATAAGGAATTGTTTTAATCCTTGTCACCTGGCCATAACAAGACACATTTGCAGGGACCATATCACAATGCTGAATTGCACCAAAACTGTTAAAAATTACCAATTTCCAAATGTTGTCATGTGACTACATTCAGAACGCCATGCTGGTGATTGTCTGCTACCTTGGCAGCCATGGTTCATTCGGCCTGCACTTACCCATTGTTCCAGCGACCTTTCAACCAACATGTCAAGGTAGAGTGTGGCTGCTTTCTGACAAGGGTTGGCCACTCTACAATGACTACTCTCTATTATCCAACCACACTTAGCCAGCATGCAACCTAGTGACAACCAAACTGATATGAGGACACCATCAGGTAGACCATATGACTGAAGCAGTGATACTGCTGTCTACAGGAGCTCACCAGTAGTTGCTGCAGTAAGTGTTCCCATTCCTGGAGCTCCAATGAATCTTTAACAACTTGGCTATCATGAGGTCACACCTCTTACTACCAGGGTTCAACAACAAGCTCAAGAGGAAGAGGAAGAAAAAGTGAAACAAGGAAAGAAAGGCAGGAGACATCTGGTACAATACAATTCCAGGCAAGCTGCCTGTGAGCTCAGTATTTGACTCCAAATCCCATGAATAAACTTCCAAATCCCAAATGTTTGACAAATCTCTACTTTACCACTCCATTGTAACAGATCTGTGGTGAACAGTCAGCCAAGGTTGTGTTCAATGCTGGGAGTAACACATCACAATCATTATGATTAGAAGACAGCATAAGGTATGCACACTGCCTGCATCATTGAGTATGCACATCACAATCCACACAGCCGCTCTCTGGGTTATTCAAAGTAGCCCTTTGCATCTACAAGCAGGTTGCATAGGCGCAAACATAAGTTGTTCTCCATGTCAGTCTGCAGCTTCCACATCTAATGGTGAGGATCTTGAAGTTTCTCATGTGCATTATTTTAGCAGTTATCACATCTTTTCAAATAAACAAGTTAACATAGCACAAAAGTAGATTAATAGACTATTATTTACAGAAGGAAGACAATGGGCAGACTCTTCTAACAAGCAATTTGGTTATTTCTACTTTCTGACTCTTTCTCCATATCTCCACAAATCTGTCTCCATGTATCTATCCAAATGCCTTTTGAAAGCTATTGTTGAAGCTGTATTCTACCAAACAGTGTGGTCCAAATCCTAATATTTATTGTGTAAAAGGTTTCCCTCATAGTTTGTTTTTCTAGTTCTTTGGTCAGATTAATCAGTTTAAATGTGTAAGAAACCATTACTTATTCATTCTAGCTTAAGGTTTCTTTTTTGGCTTTGTTCACCTATAGTATTCCACATGAGGCAACTGTTTAATCACCAAGCGTAAAATGATTGTTTTATAGACTGTCCACCGGATGATTGCAGTGGACTTCTGTGAGCTTTTTAATGGGTACTCTTGTGTTTCAATATTACTGCCCCAGTTGAATACTATATTATGCGGAGTTAATAGCTGTTATGCTAATAGATAGACTGCATCTTCAGTGATGTCAGATGACCTGATAAAGATAAAGTCACCACAGTCCTCCTCGTAGCGGTTTAACCTGAGGGTCACCACACCTCCAGCTGAGAAGGAGAATCCCTCATGCTAAACTCAGCTGGTGTAGGGATTGAACCCATACAGTCAGCTTTGCACTGTTTTACAAACTAGCCATGCAGCCACTGACCTCTGAAGACCTAGGAAGAAGGTTGTAATGTCTTGCTCAACCAGATCTCTGACAATAGTGTGAATAGCTAGTAAATGTTCATTAGTTTCCATTAGTACAGTTTCCTGTCCTCATCTGTCAATGTGATCTTTATAAAAATATTAGATTTGTAATTTCCTGTCTTCAGGATAACATTCAGATTAGCTTGTTCATAATATATTGTCACTTCAAGAAAAATGAACTGAAATGTCTCTTCTGTTTTATGTCTTGATATAGATTCATGCACTGCTCAAAGACAAGTGAAATTACAAGAAGGGCCCCTAGTCCGGGCTGAGGGTCACCACATCACAATTCAATGTGATGTGAGCGGGTATCAGGGATCACCAGTGCAGAACTTTGAGTGGTCCATCTTTCGTCCAGATAAGCCTACACTGAAAATCCAGATTATCAGCTCAAATGATCCTGAGTTCCCTTATGCTGTGTTTGGAGAAAGAGTGCAAAAGGATGAGATCTATATCGAAAGGATTAAAGGAGACTCTGTGTTGTTACACATTACAAAGCTGCAGAAAAGTGATGAAGGCACGTATGAGTGTGCCACTCCCAGTACAGACAATGCATACTGGGGGTCCTACAGTGCCATGATGAACTTGACAGGTGGGTATTTAAAGCATTCTTCTTTCTTATTTCTTTTCTCAGGATTTTACTTTATCTTTTCATTGAAACTATCAGAACTATGAAGTTGATAATCAGAAAGATGGCTGCTGTTGTTTATAATTACAATTTATTGAAAACGCAGCAATAAATACAATCAATCTTATCTAAATCTCAATAAACCATTATGAATCTGATTACATTCAAACCAATGCAGAATTGTACACCTTTGAGCATTTAGATTAATGCACTATTAGGAAATCTGATTATACAGATATGGAAGGGCAAGTACAACATACGAGCATATGGTACAGGAAGAAAGGCAGATTACTCAGACCTTCAAGCCTGTTGTGCCATTCAATACAGTCAGGGCTCTTCTGATTTTAACATTAACTCTACAGCCCTGCATAACCCCAATAGTCCTTCATTCCCTTAGTAATCAAGAATCTTTCTACCTCTGCCTTAAAAAATTACAAAAATTTTCATCCACCTTTTGAGAAAGGGAATTCCAAATATAAAATTCTATTGAGTCCACATTGCAAGCATGTAGCACCTTGAAATATACCTTTTTTAAAACCTGTTTTGTTGAACATACAGATTTGCTTTTTTAAAAGTCCTATTCAGCATGAAGAAATGAATCATATAATTTTACTGTACATGCAGTTTGCTTATTTACAGGTGAACATATTTCTTTGAGATTTGCTGGGAAGTGAATCAAAGAGAAAGTGCATTCATTATCAACTGAATTAGATAAGCAGTCTGCTCATGTGGTTCAGGAGCAATATTGAGTTTCATTGCTTATAATATTCAAAATGCTTTTTGATTGCCAGATCCCTTGGCCTAGTTTGTGATGGAAATTCCTCCTGTGATACTGAGCCCTAGAGATCATAGGTTCAATTTATAGAATCATTGAATGTCATAGCACAGAGGGAATATGTTTGGCTCTACACTCTTTGAAAGAGATATTCAATTAGTCTCTGCGCTTTACTAAGAACACTGCATTTCTTTTCTCAATCAAGTATTTCTCCAATTCTCTGCTGATAGTCAGTATTCGATCTGCTTCCAACACTCTTCCATGAAGTTGATGACAGATAATAACTTGCTATGCCCAAAAAGAAAGTTTCTTGATCTGATCTCTGGTTCCTTTGTCAATTACGTAAACCTCTCTCCTCTGGTTACTGACCTTCTGCCACTGAAATCAGTTTTTCCTCATTCACTCTATCATAACACCAGAAATGTTTGAATGTTTCTATCAAGTGTCCCCATAATCTTTGATAGGTTCAGCAAAACAACCTCAGACTTCTTTCTTGTCTGTTCACTTATGATAAGTTTTTTTTATCCTTGGTAATAGTCGAATGGTCAGCGGGCAGTTAAAAGATAACCAAATTGCTGTGGGAATAGAGTCACATATAAGTTAGACTGACTGAGAAAGACAGAATTGCTCCCCTAAAGGACATCGGTGAATAAGTTGGATCAGCAGTGTTGGCAGACTACGCAAGTTTATGGTGAGTTCAAGCTCAAGCTAATTCTTAACCGAAAACTATACATTTGCCAGCAGGGATCACACTGTTTTTAGGAACAGGATCCTTTTCTGGCTACTCCCATCCTAGTCAAAGATTGCTGAGGAAGCGGTGTCTATTTCCATCTGGTTGTGTGCAGTGTAATAGCATCTAATACAGCTGTCTAATTCATTGATCCGTTGAGGATGCCTAGAAAATCGAGTATTTTAATACATTAGGCGACAGTGTACAAATGTTCTGCTCAAAATCTCTCATTAGTTATATCCCAGCTGGATTTGAACACTGGTGAAAATAATGAATGGCTGGGAGGTCTCTAATTCATTATAGCAACTGGGTCCTGTAAAGTATTAAATTTGTAATTTACTTTTCCATGTTTTTATTCCTGTCATACTAAGAATGAGTTTGGTATGTATGGGTGATATTGATTATGTTAAGGTACCTTTAACACAAGTAAGATTGTGGAAGTATTGCATTATTGTATACAGAATATGATTTTCTTTCGTACATCACAAAAAACATATCAAAAACATATGTTCTTAGTCGTTCCAGACACACTTCGTGCAACATTGGCACCCCAAACCCTGGATAAAGTTGAAGGTGACTCCCTGAAACTGATCTGTGAAGTATCCAAAGAAACATCACAGCACACACACGTGGCTGTCACATGGTACATACAGAAGGGAGATCAGAAACTCACGGTCATCTCTCTAACAAGAGATTTCATCATACGTTCTGGAGATTCATATAAGCAGAGAGAGGCAGCAGGAGATGTACAACTGGATAAGATTGGTGTGACTTCATTCAAACTCACCATCTCCAAACTACAGCTGTCAGATCAAGGAGATTATTATTGTGAAGGTGCAGAGTGGATTCAAGACTTAGACAAATCCTGGAATGGCCTGTCTAGTAAAAATACTGAAAGTACCACAGTGAATGTTAAGAGCATAGGTAAGATTCATAAGTACAGAAAACTATCTCCTTTATATAGCTATAGTTTCATAGTGTGACTGCTTCAACCATTGTAGTAAGAGAATCACACGCAATGCACCGCTGAATTTCCTGCATACATTTTCACAGTTTGTGGTGAAGTTGAGAAAGGCTGGAAATTGAATGTTTACTATCCACTTTATGTGCATGAACATAAGTTTTATTAGTAGAAAAGGCAAGATAGACTCAAAGGAAAAGACTGTGCAATTGGATGTAAGCTTGAACTAAAGTCAAGTCATGTGAGAACAGACTCCTGTTGTAATTCTGTGACCAGCTTCAACAAGCGGACTTCTGGCATTGCTATTGCCTGAAAGGGAGCTTTGGTCCATAACAATTCAAGAAATTAGCCGCTGCTGCAGGGTTGAAGGGCTGCAGTTTTCATTAGCTTTTCAAGGTTATAAGTTGCTTAAGAGGTTCTGGATACCTGGGCGAAAATGTAACAGCACAGGAGATACCCAGAGTTTTAGATGGGGCTTGACACAGCTGTTGGTTCTGTCTGAGGGGCAATGATACCAAATGATCACAAGGGTACTTAGACTGTAAGATAGTATGGTATAAAAGGAGCATATGTTTTCACTGAAGTATCACAAAGGTCCAATTCATTTTAATACCTAAAATCTAGAAAAATATTCAGAATACAAGTTGGACTTTCCTGTGTACATGCTTATTTGGGATGCATCTGGGACATTATAGGATGAAAATTCAAGACATGAATTGTTCAACTGGCTCCTGGTAGACTGAATTGATTTCCAAAATTATTCTTCAACAGATACAGCAGAATATGTCCATTTAATTCTGGCTGTGTCTATTCATGTGGCACGTCAAGGTGTCATACGAATATTTCTTGTCATTTGTGTAGAAAATAAAGCAAAGTGCAGTTTGTACTGCTATGGAGAGAGGAGAGAGATTTAACATTTAAATTCTTTTGAGGAAGCAGAGTAACAATTATAATCTCTACCAAGTTAATTGCAAAATTGACAGAAACTATTCTGTCTTCAGCCACCTCAAAGGAAGTAGGCCTTGTTTAATTGTTTCCCATTCTCACATCCTTGATGGAGATAGGAATCCACCAGGAATTGCCCAAATAATTTAAATGAGACCTACTCCAGAAAATCAGAGCTTAACACAGGTGGAGGGTAATTTTTCAAGTGAATTTGTGGTGGGGTTCCATCCAATCAGAAAAATGACTTGTCAAATTGCTTCTGTTGTCCAGGAGAGACGAGAAGATACGTAGTTCAAATACAAGCATCTTTTGGATTTGTTTATATATGTAATTTATACATGTGAATATGTACATGTGATGGGCAGCCTTCTTTGAGTTGAGATAAATGTTAACATTTATATGTCCCAGGCAAACTTGCAACAAGTTATTTCTCATCTGGTTTTGTTCAAAGTCTGTGATCCATTTCAAGACATGAGAAAGCAATAAAAGCAAAAAGGTTGAGGACGCTAGTAAAAGGTGATGCATTTGTCAGAAAAGCACCAGGAACAATAAAACATGTTGTAAAGTTTAATATTGGACAATGGCTACTTTGTAGTGAGTCCTTGGTACCATTCAATAAATCTGTGTTAAATCTGTTAAACAGTCTGATCTAGGACTGATCATTCTGCTGTATCACAAAATTAAGAAATTTCACCAGAAGCCTGAAATATAACTGTGGAGCCAAAAAATAATATTGAGGATTTTCTGTCCAGTTCTTGGTTGGCTACAAGAGACTTAACTGATGATCAAGTAAAAGCACATTTTGGTTAACAGGCACAAAGCTGACTCACAGGAGTGCTCTGAGAAGCTAAACCTGAGAACAAACACCTTGAATAAACATTCAACAATATAACAGAGCTTGCAAATGAGAATCCCATGGACAAGATACCACAGATCTGGAGGCAGTGACTAAGGAGATTAACTAACATTGCTTAATCTTCCATTAACTCAGTGTATGATCAATCTCTGATAGTTAAAATTACACGCAGTTTCCAGTATCTTAAATGCTTCAGTTCTGACCACAATATCACAATACCAAAATTAGTCCTCTCAATTATTTTTTAAAAATGCTTTCTGAGCATTAAAAATTGATGTATTCATTGGCAATTATGTTGAGCAGTATGTTGTCGATGATGACTTGGGTAAAGGAATCCATCATCGACCCATCTGCAGCCTTGCATACTGGTTTATAATAGTAGACTCCTTCTTTGAGTCTCTATGGTTCTTGAGTAGATTTGTAGCTTGGGTTATGGATCATGGTTGGTTTGCTCACTAAGCTGGTTCGTTAGTTCACAGACGTTTCATTACTCTGCTGGGTAACATCATCAGTGCAGCCTCCGATGAAGCACTGCTGTGTTTTCCCACCTGGTATATAAACTCTGAGGTCCAATGGATTTGATTACCTCATTTCCAGTTTTCCTTTGCAGTGGTGTATATATAGGGTCTAGTTCTATGTGTTTGATGGCCTTCTTGGTGGAGAACCAGGCCTCTAGGAATTCCCATGTTTGTCTCTGTTTGACATGTCCTAGGATCCAGGTGTTGTCCCAATCGAATTGGTGGTTCTCCTTATCCGTGTGAATGGAGATGAGTGAGTACTGGTTGTGTCTTTTTATTGCTAGTTGGTGTTCATGTACTCCTGGGGCCAATTTTCTTCCTGTCTGTCCAATGTAATGCTTGTCACAGTCCTTGCATGGAATTTTGTATATTACGTTGGTTCTGTCGATAATGGGTAAGGGGTCTTTGGTTTGAGTTAGCAGTTGGCGTAGGGTTGATATGGGTTTGTGTGCTACTCTGATGCCCAAAGGTAGTAGGAGTCTTGTTGTCAGTTCAGATATGTTCTTGATGTTTGGTAGCGTGACGAGTGTGTTAGGGCGTGCAGCATCTTCCTGTTGTTCCTGTGATAGGCATCGTCGGATCCAGTTGTTTGGGTATCCGTTGTCGTTAAATACTTGGTGGAGGTGCTCTTCTTCCTTTTGGTTTTGTTCCAGGTACTACAGTGTGTTGTCGCTCGTTTAAATAGTGTTTTCATGCAACTTCATTTGTGAGTGTTAGGGTGGTCACTGTTGAAATTCAGTACTTGGCCTGTGTGTATTGCTTTTTTATGTACCTTCGTCAGGAATTCCCCGTTAGCCCTGCCTTCTACCATGCCAACAGGGAATTCCTGACGAAGGTACATTTACAAAAAAGCAACACACACAGGCCAATATATATATTCAAAACTTTCCTATTTTATGCAGCTCTCAGCTGTACTCTTCCTTTTGATGACAACTACTGAACAGTTTGCTAGGCCTCTGTCAAAGTGGCAGTGACAGGAGATCATAAGAAACAACAATGTACTAGACAGGTTAATTATAGCAAAAACAGTCTGAGATGTATAAACTGAAGTGCTTTTGTTGAAGTTTGAATCACTGACCTTTTGATGAACGACAGTATTGTTTTAATGCATGGAGTGAATCACTGCCCTTAACCTTCAAGAGGCTTCAAATGCTGATGTGATCAGTTTCAGCTTCAATGGCACTTTTCGGTTTACACCAAATAGCGCATTTTACAATTTAAAATTAACCTCTATGGTCCAGGTTGCACCACTTAAAGGCAGATGCAATAAGTTGACTCATTTTGGATAACTGCCAGTAGTGAGCTGGTGACAGTCTCTGAATATTGCTAAGGAAGCATTACAGAGCCTGAATTTTACTTTCAATTGCTTCCATCTCATTTTGATCCCTTAATCTCCATGCACATTTCATTACCCTTCTCCAGTCATGAAGGTATGTTGCTCAATGGGATCTGTAAGCAAATAGGAAAGATGATTTAGATCCATTTTAGTTAAGTAACTGTCGAAAACATTGAAAAATTTAACACATCTTGTTTTAAAAAGGAAGCAAGTAATTATGCTGCAAGTATCTCCCTGGACCATCAGGATACCTATACAATCCACAGAAATTTTCTCTGGCATTCTCTCCATTAAAGCAGATTCAGTGCAAGGCCATGCATATTTCCAAATAATCTTTGCATGGCTTTGTTTTCTCTGTACTACATTAAGGTCGGAATTGAAATAGAGGTCTTCTATCAGGCTAAAGTTTGACAAATTTGCTCACTTTGTTTTTTGTTAAACTCTATACGCTGCCTGACACAGTAATGATATTCATTTTATTTCATGCAGGTAACCAGTTTCTTGCTCTGATTAAAGCCACTGAAGTCAACGTTAATGTAGGTGGCACATTGGAAATAATCTGCACAGTAGAAGCTCAGAATTTCCCAGATCGTTTCTTCTCTGTTGCCTGGTTCTTAAACAACAGAGAAATAATCCGTTTTGGACCAAATGCAGTACCATCCTTTCACGGGGAATATAAAATGAGAGAGAGCTTGGGAAAGGTGATGGTCCATAAGAAAAGTGACAGGGTTTATGTTCTGAAAATATATCAGATTCAAGTGGAAGATGGTGGCACATATCACTGTCAGGTGGAGGAGAATGAGAAAATATCATCTGCAGCATTCTCAACTAATAAATCCAACGAGATCACAATCACTGTGCAACGACCACGTAAGAAACATGCAAATAAATTTATTCTATTTTCTGCTAGTGATTAAGAGCTGTATTATATCATGATATCCTTACCTAATTAAAGGATATCCTTGCCATAGAGGAAATACAACAAAGAATCATCAGCTGGATTCCTGGGATTGTTCCATGAGAAGAGATTAAAGAGATTGTGTCTATATTCTCTGGCATTTAGAAGAATATGAGGTGATCTCATTGAAGCAAACAAAACTCTTCCAAAGATTGATAGTGGAATGCTGCAGGAAGGATGTTTCCCTTGGTTGGGGTGTCGAGCACTAGGGAGCAAAGTCTCAGAATAAAAGGTCGGTTATTTAGGACTGAGATGAGGAGGAAAATTTAGAATTCTCTACCCTCGAGGGCTGTGGATGTTCAGTCGTTCAAGGCAGAAATTTATAGATTTCTAGATATTAAAGATATCAGGGATATGGGATAGCACTGGAAAATGGTGTTGAGATAAAAGATCAACCATGATCTAGTTGAATTGCAGAGCATGCTCCTGTTTCCTAGTTCCTATATTCCTATCTGGGAGGTTGGTTGCTTTCCAGGAATTATAAACATTTTAGACACAAAATGAGAGACAGACCCATCTTGGGATAGGAAGAAAACAGGCTGAAACAAAAGGCACTCTCTTAAAAAGATAACAAGGTGTAGAGCTGGATGAACACAGCAGGCCAAGCAGCATTAGAGGAGCAGGAAAGCTGACGTTTTGGGTCTGGACCCTTCTTCAGAAATCTCTAAAATCTTTTTCTTGCAGCAAAGCCGCAGATATATCGAATTTCAAAAGGAATAATCATTTATACAAAAGAAGAAATAGGGTGCTGACTGGAATTTAGAAAAGGCAAGTTGACTCTGATTGGTTGCAACCTATAGAGAATGCACCAGGATAGCATTGTCCCCCAAGCTTTTGATTTGATAGAAAAGGTGTTATATGTAGAGATGTCCTTTTGCTTGCAAAGGCAGCCCCCTGCATGTAAATGTGTTGTTTTTAGCAAGTGTAAGTGAACCACATGTCAATCTTGACAGATGATCTTCAGTGTGATCTTGATGGATGATCTTCATATAATTCTTCACGTAATTATTTATGCAATTCTTGGCATAGGCTAGAATTTTTTCCACAAAATGCTCCATTTCTCTGTCTCTCTCTTTTGTTAAGATGGTTATTGAAACCAATCTCATTGATCAAACGTTTTGGTTATCTTTCCCGATTTCTCACCATGTGGCTTAATGTCAAAAGAAGTCCAAGGTTCTTGTTAAGTGCCTTGTAATGCTTTTTCTCTGTTAGGTGTGCTATATAAATGTAAGCTATCATCATCTGCTGATATTCACAAACCTCTTGGTCTTTACTATGTTAGCTCGCATCCTTGAATAAATCCAGAACTTCCACTTTTCCAAATGTGGCCCCCACGTATCTCTCACATTATACCTGTTTTCGTCATTTCACAGAAGCCAACCTCAAAGTATTAATCAACAGTAGTACGACTGAAGTTTTGGAAGGTGATTCCATTCAGTTTGCCTGTGATATTCATTTAGCAAGTGCAGCTTATGGACAGCTCTCTATTACCTGGCAAATCATAAACAACCAGAACCAAAACAGTGACGTCATTGGAATGAACCGAGATGGTATTCAGGTTACTTACCAGCCTTACCAGGAGCGTGTAATCAACAGTGACATCAGAATGGCACGAGTGAAATCAAATACCTTCACATTGGGCATTTATAATGCCCAGCCTTCAGATCAAGGACACTATGCTTGCAACGTGATGGAATGGGAAGTAGAATCTGATGGAAACTGGCACCTAATTGGAGAATATGTTAGCGACAAGAGGGCAGTAACTATCAAATCCCTTGGTAAGCAATTCAGTGTGGAATATTACTGTATTTCATTTAAACAATTGCAGGGTTCTCAATTAGACATTAAATCAAGATTTTTTTTTGTAAAGGATGGCCCCTATTCTATCTTACAAAATCAAGTCGCAGCATACTGCATTGAAAGCTGGAATTTCCATTGCCTTCATGGTCATGGTCAAAACAGACATGGTGGGCCAAAGGGCATGTTCTTGTGCTGTATTGTTCTATGTTCTATATTCACTGATTACATTGAATTTTGCCATCAGTTTAATGAAAAATCATACTTTTCTGTTCACCAATTTTCAATAAAAGTAAGCTCTTTTCAGTGTCTCCTACCATCATGCCACTCTGAATAAATGAGTGAGTGACTTGTGATTAATTGCTGAATAGGTGAGGGAGAATATTTAAGAGAGATGAGGAGGTAAGTACTCTTCTTACATATCCCACGATTGAAAAAAATGCTGAAAATCCATAGTTGGCCTTAACGATCAGCGAATCTATAAAAGCTCAAATGAATTTTAAAAATGAGATTTTTTTTTCTCTGTCGATCATGAGCTACGGAATTCTGTTCCCTAGAAGTGGTGGAGGCTGGGTCTTTGAATATTTTTAAGGCAGAGTTAGGTCACTGTGAGATCCGCCTTGATCTGACCAAATGTCAGAGCAGCTTCAATGGACCTACTGACGCAGTCCTATCTTATGGTACAACACCTCCTTGCAGGTTTGTATTTTAACTCTGAACAAGTTGATGACAGAAACCATTTCAGTGAGTTGGTTTCCCAAATGACAGAAGTAGCAGTAGGCCATAACAATTTTAACCAGCAGGCCTCGTGTTACTGCTACTTGTCCACTTATTGACCTGAAATAGATGTAAAGAGGCACAGAACTAGCTACTACATAAGAAGAGCCTCTGACTAGCGGGTAACTAGCAGGGCGGGTCTTCGGTATGATCTACCTCTGCTTTTTGTGGTTCTGCAAAGGAAAGCTTTAGAATTTCTAAAAAGCAACTTCCACTTTCAGAGAAGCTGCCTATTGGAACCTGGCTATCGAGAAAACCATGGTCTTACTGTTCAAAAATTAATTGAATTGAACAAAAGAACATCGTTCTCGTCCTGTAAACCCAGAATTGTGCTGTTTCTAAAATATTGAAATGGGAATTGACATCACAATATTGCAAACAATGTTTACACTCTATGGGAACACTCTCTTTTGTTTTAATTAAACCGATTATAGTTTGGGATTCAATTATCTGTACTAGAAAGTCTCAGAAGAGTTGCTGCCACAGTCTTTAATTTTTCTCTTTTGTGTTTGCAGAAAGCAACTTTAAGGTTACCGCAATCACCCGGACACCAACTGTGAAATACTATGGTACATTTGAACTCCAGTGTATCATTAGGCCGATAGATATTACCCATGTGCCAGCATCTGTATCCTGGAAATTCCAACCAGCCAATTCTAATGACAGTTACAACCTTGTAACTTTCACCCATGATACTGCGATTAAGTGGGGGAACAAAGCAGAGAACTTCAAAGGAAAAATGATTATAGTGAAATCTGTGTCCAATGCTGTCCGGTTGAGTGTTTCAAGGGCCAGTAAATTGGAAGCTGGGAAGTTTCTATGTATTGCAGAATTATGGGGAAGGCATAATCCAAACAAATGGGTCAAAAAAGCCAGTGCAACATCAAACATCCTGGAAGTAAAGGTTGGACCCCCAGGTAAGGTGACAGACTACTTTTCATATTTACAGCATCAAAGTGGAACTGAGGGTTCTAAGGAAGAGTTACTGGAACCAAAATGTTAACTCTGATTTCTCTCTACAGATGCTGCCAGATTTGCTGAGCTCTTTTAGCAACTTATGTTTTTGTTTCTGATTTTCAGCATCTGCAGTTCTTTCAATTTTTATTTAGGTAACCTTGCTACATTTGTAGTCACAAGAGATCACAGTCCAGTCTGCCTTGACTTGCCTCTTCGCCTCTTTGCTCTTTGTTAGAAATTCCACTGCATCTCTAAGTGTGAAATTCCATGGTTCTCTCTCTCTCTACAGACAGCCACTTAATTTACAGCCACTTTTTTTGGCTGCATCAGCCTTCTTTTTAAAAAAAACACTTTTTTTTTGAATTACAAGTCCAGAATGTCCTTAGTAGTCCAAATTGTCCATAGGGTAGAAGGTTTGTTTTTTAGTTTAGTCAGGGCATGATGATCGGCACAGGCCTGTAGGGCTGAGCAGCCTGTTCCTGTGTCGTACTTCTCTTTTGTCCTTCAGAGCTCTGACCTATGGTCGTGACAGTTATAATTCGATATTAAAAATCGTCAATAAGATAATTAAAATTCCACCACTGTGTTTTAGTTTTGTGTGCTCGATCACCTGTAATCAACTTGCATAAGGAAGGATACATTCTTTCCAAAAAGGCAGTGCAGCAGGGATTCACCAGAATGATTCCTGGAATAGCAGGACTAAGCTACAAGGAGAAATTGAAGGGATATTTTAGTTTTGAAGAATGAGAGGTAATCTCATTCTTTACCCCAGTGGGCTGTGGAAGTTCACTCATTGATCAAGATGGATATCAATAGATTTCCAGATGCTAATGACATCAAAAGGGCTCTGGAGATAGGTGGGGAAATTGTATTAAGGAAGGTGATGGGACATGATCAAGAATGGCAGAGCAAGCTCAAGGGATTGAATGACCTACTTTTGTTTTGATGTCCTTCCTAATTAAATAGATTCTTGGCTAAATGAGATTGTTTGTATTTATCTAAGGTACTACAGTCAGACAAGACATTCAAGGGGCTGTATTATGCCAGTAATACAATGTTAACTTAATGCTAAAATGCAGTTTTTGATGCTTTAGAAGAAAATCTGTATTTTAACATATATTGATTCTTTGTATATATTCTGCTATGAAATATTACACTGAACCTGACAGCAATAAAAAGGAGTTAAGTTGTTCATATTATCTTTGAAAATCTGCAATTTATCCCTTGAATTTGCTGTTTCCGTACCTTCTGGGAATTAAACAGCATTAATTGAGCAATGACAGAATTAACCAAGAGTAAGGTAACCAGTTCTTTTAACTCACTGATGTCTAGAATTAAGACAGTTACATGAAAGAATGGGATAAAAATTAATTTACAATAAAAAGAATGCAAAGACAACAAGATCACTAGTGCCATAAGTTCATAATTGCAGTATCTTTGGTGCTGTTAGATTATTAAACATGGATAAGTTTTTATATAAGGAAAATAGTAGTTAGCTATTGACTGATTTCCATGGTACATCATGTTGAAACTAAATGCTGCAGAGAAATACTGTGAAATCATTTTGACAGGCTGTCTTTTCTGTTTTTGTAGCTTGTCTCTTGCAGCTTACTAAGCAAGTTACCACAATATATAAAAGAATCAATGACATCACTGAACTTGAATGTAAAATTTTAGCTCGAACTCAAAACGATTCCCAATTCTCAGTCACGTGGCTCTTCAGTAAGACACAGGGACCAAACGTGAAAGGGGAAAATCTTCTGAACATTGATCGCAACAGTATTGTCCGGTACTATGGAGAATTGCTTACTAATTCTCAGAAGAAAATGAAATTTCAGGATGAGAAGCCCTCTAGTGATGTGTACAAGTTGATGATACAGAAAACTGATGTAAATGACAGTGGGAATTACTACTGTCACGTAACAGAGTGGCTCTTGGATCCCAACAACATCTGGTATAAAGTGGGAGAGGATACATCAGCAATGACAATTGTCCAAGTGCGTACAGCAGGTAAACAAGTTTCCTAAATTTCTCATAAATATTGTAGCACTGGCACAAACAATAATTGATTTGTCCAATACAATGAGCTAAGACAGAGTTAGATAGATCCTTGCTTGGCAAGAGAATCAGAGCTAATCACGGTAGATAGGAATGTAGAATTTGAAATGCAATCAGATCAGTCATGATGTTTTGAATGGTGGCACAGTTTAGGGGCTGACTGGTCTTCTTCTGCTCCAATTTCATATGTTCTTACATAACTGCACCCTGCAACCAGGAATGCTGAAGTGAAAATCATGTATGGAGCTCTCAGTAGCACAAACACAAAGAAATAATAATTTGGCAGTGATTATTGTTTTAAAATTCACTCGTGATGAGGGTGCCACCGGCTAGGCCAGCATTTCTTGCCCATTCTTCAGAGCAGCTAAGAGTCGACCAATTTGCTTTGGGTGTGGAGTCACATATAGGCTAGACCAGTTAAAGATGGCAGTTTTCTTCGCCAAAGGACATTAGTGAACCGGATGGGTTTTTTGACAATGGATTCATGATCATCATTAGACTCTATGATTCATGAATCAATTGTTGATTGTTGGGAAAAACCCATCTGCTCCTCTAATGTCTTTTATGGAGGGAAGCATGTGATGCTAACTAAAGAAGCAACTTTTCATAATTGCTGTCCTGTTGGAAATTAGCAGGCTGTGGCCCATACAGTGCATAACTTCTAAATCATGAAATTGAATGGCCGTTAAACTAAATAGTTTCCACAATGGATAGGTGAACCAAGAAAATAAAATAATGTTGAGAAACGAAACCAGTGGGGAGAAGTGAGCTAAGAGAATTAGAAGAAATATAAGAAAATGCTAAGAATGAGTAATAATTGGCTTTGAGTTTAAAAAGGCAGAATCAATTAGAGTAGAATTTGTTTGTTATCATATTTCAAGAGAGAATGGCTAAGGAGGATATGATTTTCCCTTTACTATTCTGTCCAAAATCAGGCTATATAATCGTGGAAAATAACAGAAATAAAATGAGGTGTCTATACAATTGACTCTCACAAGGAATTATACTGTCTGATCCCAGATTGCTGCAGCACTTTTAAAATGATGAAAAAGCAGGTCTTGCCAATGGACTCTGTTTAATTCTCTTCTGCCGCTGCCGCTGCCGCAGCTGACTTCAGGCACCAACAGGCCTGGGATAGTTGTATAGACACTTATTTTTAATCAATCAGATTGGATATGTTATGACACACCTCTGCAAGTGGAACTTGAATCCAACCTTCTGGTCCACTCTGGATAGTGGTACATGGTATGCTTGAGGTCACATAATGAGTACCTGTTCCTCTTTGAGGCTCCAATCACTTGAGAGATGACAGAATCAGACAAATTTATTGTTTAAATGAAAAATTGTAATTTTATTTTTGGACCCTTCCATCTCCTTTAAATTTAGGATCCCATACTGCTTGTTGAGTGGCACATTCCTGCTTGCTGACATGGCTCCCACCAATCCGACCTGCATAAATAATGATCTCTGACTCCAGAAAGTGGATCAGTGACTGCAACAGAAGAGGGGCAGTCAACAGACTCACCCTGATTGCCCTTGTTTTTTACTTAATCCAAGCCTATGTCCTTAAAAGATGAAAGTGGTGGGATAACTTAAAGATTATTTTATTTTATCACTACAGTCTCAAAGTATTCACCAGCAACCTCTTGATTTTCAATAACTGTGGCACATTGCAGAATATTTTGAAATGTGAGAGGTGGGACTATTTGATGAGTTAAAAGAAATAAAGACAAATCCTGCCAGACATACAGCAGTTGCAGAATGAGACTAGGGTGGAAAATAGCAGATTGTAATGTTGAAAGATTTCTGGGTATTATAGAAGTGACACAGGATTAGAAGTAACCAAATGTTGTGCATATGATTCAAAAAGGAGAGAAATCTGATTCTGACAACTACAGACCAAAAGACTTATGTTGGTGCTGAGTAAAATATTGATGAAGATACTGTAAAGTAGATTCATGGATAGAAACTACACAATAATGTCCAATGAAATGGCAAATCTTTTATGCAATGTCAGCTTGTAATTGACAAAGTGGTAGTAGGTCAATTTCATGAACTAGTACAGTCTTGTGGTGATGGTGCCTTCAATGTAGTGCTACAAAGATAATTTCTATGATTTTGACACTGTGACAGTGAAAGGACAATAGATATATAAGTCAGTTCATACGTTATAACTTTAAAGTCATCCTGGATTTAGGAAGAAACATTTCTGTGATGAAAACCCCTTTAAACCTCCCTGATGATGTTACAAATAAATGGTGAAATTTTTGCGATATCATTATCATTAATTTCACTTTTTAGTAAGAACTTTGATAAATTTCAATTTGGAGGAATATGTTAAATGAAACAAAATTCATGGGAATCTAGGAGAGAATGTGACTTAAAGAAATTGAATTTAAAAAATCAGATAAAAAATGGGAAACACGGTCAGAGTTTGGGGGTACTGGATGGAGACAGTGTTAATGACCCTATCACTGTAGTTGATGTTATGACCTTATTAGCCAGAATAGAAAAACAGTTTTTCATTTTTGAGATTACATGAAATATAGAGAATTTTAAGAATGAAAGAAGGGTTTCAATTTGGTCTGCAATTGCTCACACAATTTGTGGAGAAAATCTAATTTTGATACAGTTAAATTAATTTATGTTGTTTAGAAGGATTGAGAAACATGTAACATAAAGGAAGTAGCATAGGACACTGTGTAAAGGTTCTGTGTTGTTTGTGGAGTCAGCACTGTCACTGTTGATACAATGTGGAGAAATAACAAAAAGTGGATAACACAGCAGAATAGTGGAACATTAATTTTCATGGGTTATGTTGAAGGTTTTAATTCACTGTCCAGGCCTTAGAGGGAATATTAACCCTGAATTATGTGATTCCACCTACTAAGCTAAATCATTTCTTCAAATTCTTTCACAGATTGGCTAGGGCAGCATTTATTGTCATTTCCTAATTGCCTTTGCCTTTGAGAAGGTCATGATGATCTGTCTTCTTGAATTGCTACAGTGTGGTAATAGCACATCCGCAAGTCTGTTAGCCAGAGAGCTCCAGGATTTTGATCCAGTGACTGGAGAGTGGCGGTGATATACTTGGAGGAGAAATTGCAGGTTATGTTCCCATGTATCTGTTGTCCTTCTCTGTCTCAGTTAGTAGAGGTTACAGAACTTCATTTGAAAAGTTCTGCCAAAGGAGAGTTGATGAGTTGCAATAGTGCATCTTGTAAATATTATACACTGTTGTCACTATGGGTGGAATGCGTGAATGTTTAAGGCAGCAAATGGGGTGCCAATCAAGTGGGCTGAATTGTCCTGGATGGTGTCAACCATGTGTTGTTGGAGCTGCACTCATCCAGGCAAGTGCAGAATGTTCCAACAGACTCCTGACTTGTGCATTGTAGACAGTGGACAGGCATTAACGAGACGACAGATAAGCTATTCACCACAGAACTCCCAGCATCTGACCTGCTGTCATTGCTATTGCATTTACAAAGCTAGTTCAGTTCAGGTTCTGGCCAACGTTAAGCCCCCAGAGTGTTGACGGTGGGGAATTCAGTGATAGTGATGCCATTGAATGCTATAGGGGTGATGGTTCTTCCTGAACATAATAACTGCCAGGAATTGTAAAGAATGAATGTACCCGCCACTCATCAGCTCAATGTTGTTTAGGTCTTGCTACATATGGACAACAGACTATTTTAGTACCTGAGGAGTCGTGAATGGTGTTGAACTTTGCTCAATCATCAGTGAACATCCCTGGTTGTGTCCTCCAAAAATCATAACCATCTTCTATTGAGCTAGAACCAGCAGTGTTTTTCCCCTGACTCCTATTAACCCTAATTTTCAGTCAAATGTGGCCTTGATAGCAAAAGCAATCATTCCCACTGCACCTCTAGGGTTCAGCACTTTAGTCCATGTTTGGGTCAAGGCTGCAATGAGGTCAGGAGCTGAATGACCCTGATGGACCCCAAGTTGAACATCAAGTTGTTGCTCAGCAAGAGCGACTTGAAGCTCTGTTGATGACCCGTTCCATCACCTAGTCAATGATTGCATAGAGAGTGATGGGCAGTAATTGACCCACCTCAGTGCTGGTTGGCAGGATCAGAAAATTTTACACGCCTGTCTTGCTGTATGGACGTTTTTGAACAAATTATTTTAAAGCGCAGAGGAAGCTTAGTTGCAGAAATTCTCAACCTCCTTTCTGTTGAATATTTGTTTAAATTTGATCCATTAAAAAAAAACTGCATTATCCATCCCTCGTTGCATTGTAAGGATAGTAGTGGAACCGTTTGAACCATTTCAAACAATGCAATGATGGTGCAGCTCTGATGATATTATGTGGGGATTATGTAGTAATAATGAAGGGATGGGGTATAGAGCTGTACAAATAGAGCAGCACAAATAATAAAAGTTTCTTACTCCTATGCATCCAGATATGAAGGATCTCTTACAAGCTGCCCATGCCTTTGCATTAACAGGAAAATTTGAACATTCAGACTTAATAGGTCTATCCTCCTCTTGAAGCACCTTTTTTACAGAGTTCAAAATTTAGTTTGGTCTATGTTAGTGTATCTGTCACACAAATTGTACTCCTAATGTCATGTGCCCATATTCAACAGAAACTAGTTACTCTAGTAAGATTAAGACAGAATTCTAGATTTTACTTGTGATCTTTAAATGTTAGTTAATTCGTTAGACTAATGATGGTTAATGAAGGTCTGTATCAAATTGAAAGTTTAGTATAGATGAGAAAATATCCATATCCCTAGCATTTATGATACAATACATTATTTTGGTGAATGGAGATTTATTCTCTGTAGTGTTCAATGGATTAAATCTTCTGAGTTTTATCATTGGCATATTTAATTGACTTACATTCATTGTACTTAAATGGGCCTGGCTGAAATCTCTGAATGCTAAAGTGAACAAATGCTTCCAGAAAAACCTGAAAAACTCAAGCTGTGAACATTTGTGTAGAACTCCTGTGATTGTGGAACCATTTTAAAGCACTGTAAGTAAAGCTGTTCAGACCTAGCTCTAGTGTCATCTCTGCATTGCTCAGAGATAAATAGGACGTACAAAGCATACAACAAACTGGTGAATATACAATGCTGTCCATAACTGTAGTGTCTCTCATTACTTGATTAAAGTAAAATGAAAAAGTAAAACTTGTGCAGTGATGATTTGATCACAGATCTTCAAGGTAGAATTTACAATTAAGCCCCAAAGAAAACAATACTGCAATTTACTTGGCACATTCTCTCTGAGTTCAACACCAAAATGCACTGTGATTTTCCTCACTTCCAAGCAAGTTTCATGTTTTTTTGTCTTGTATTGTTTCTGCAGATGCAAACCTACAAATCAGTAACAATAACACAACTCTCTCAAGTAATGAGAATGCTGCTGTGGAACTTGAATGCCAGATCATTAACCAGACACAGAGACAATCACAATTTTCAGTCACATGGTACTTCCAAGATGATAATCCAAATACCAAGGAGACAGCACTTCTCAAAACTGATCGAAATAATATCCTGCAATACTTTGGAGATCTGCAGATAGATCCTCAGAAAATGATGAAATTCCAAAGTGTGAAGGCCTCCAGTAACACCTACAAATTGATAATACAGAAGGCAGCGCAGAGTGACAGTGGTGTTTACTTCTGCGATGTGGAAGAATGGGTCTCTAGCACCCAGAACGAATGGGTTATACAAGGACATGCTCGCTCTGGATCAATAATTCTTCAAGTTGAGACACCAGGTAATATGTATAACTATTTCACCAGAAACCAACTTGTTTGATTAGAAATATGTCTCCTGGAATATGTTTCTGAACCAGGCTGCATAGAAATGATGCAAGTTAAGCCAATATTAGAATGGGATTTTGGATTAATTTTATATTAAATGTTGACCTTTTTTTCCTTTCACTTCACTGACATTAGACTCAAACACAATATTCAGAAAGATGAGTTACTTATGGTAATGTGTGTGCGGCTATTATTTTTATACCTCTATAATTCTAGTAGACAGCCAGTATGTAGAAAGGAAGTGAAAGTTTCCGTTCTGAAACTTGACCAGAACACTGCAGTAAATGCCTATATGATCCAGAGAGAATGCAAATTGACGACAGTAACTTGTTCTAATAATTACCAATGCTATATATATTGAGGAATGTAGAAGGAAGCTGCTTTTTATCTCAGGGATTTAGGTTTTAATTTAGTTCAATTTCTAAAGATAAAAACTTCCCTATCTTCTGGCTATAAAAGCCATACATGAAGTCAGTTCAGGCAGACTCAGTTCAGTTCTAAATGCCTGTGCTCTCAAAGTGCAGAACTTCTCACAACATACAAATTAGAACCACGAGTAGGTCATTTGGCCCTTTGAATTTGTGCTGCTATTTGGTAAGATCAATGCTGATAAGATGTAGTCTTAACTCCACTTTCCTTCCTGTTCCTCAATTTGTGGTTAATTGGCTTTAACTCAGTGATCTTGCTCTGACTGCAGAGAATGTGTGTTCTACTATGTTGTAGAAGGTACTTTCTGGAGGTCAGACCAAAGTCACTATGGAAATCAGAATAAGGTGTGGTACATACTCCATCTGACTGTAATAAATCTGAATTGAAAGATTTGAAATTGGTTTTGGATGGGTGAGAAGCACTGTGATTTGAAATTTTATCTGTCACCTCAGAAATCTGATTATTTGAACGCCTGAGTCTTTATTAAATCTCACTTACCGACTTATCACCAATAATTGTCAGGAAGCCAATGGGAAACACAGAAAAGCAAATACCTCCTGCCAATACCAGGTTCCTGCCATTACCTAGATTTGGCCTTGTGGACTTTGCAACAGTGAATCCCACAATTGGGAAGTGGGGGAGGGTTTTGGTGGTGGGAGAACCTTGCATGAAAGGGAGAGGCCTAAACTTTCTCTGTGCAATCTAGAGGAGCACTGCCGCTACTCGTGGCCACAAAAGGTGAGAAAAAAGATCCTAGCTGTTCAGGACTCTTGTGGTCACCACTCCTCCTCCCACTATCTTCCCCTGATGGGAAAGCTGCAGTAGCTACCTTCTTTAGCACCTCAGTTTTTTTTTGACAGTTAAAAAACATTTGGATAGGTATGTGGATGAGAACGGTTCAGAGGGATATGGACCAAATGCAGGCAATTGGAACTAGCTGAGTGGGCATCATGGTCAGCCTGGACCAGTTTGAGCTGAAGGACCTGTTTCCATGCTGTATTACTCTAATAACCCAATGACTCTAAATTAAATGGTTGTTTCTATCAATCTGCCTGTTTCTCGTTGGTCAGTAAGCTAAAATTACCCGTAGAAACGTCAGTCTAATGAGTTCACAACTGAGATTGGCTCGATCAGCTGCAGACTTCCTGGGTTTTGTCAGTATACACTGGCTCAGTTGAGTTATTGCGATGTGGTGGCAGCTCAGAGGATTTGCAACGAGGTCTTTAAAATGTATGCATTTTACTTTTCCTTTACTCACCGTCTTTCATTGGAAAAATACAAATAAAAATACTGGCAGAGCAATCAGCACGGTCATCAGCAGAAAAATGTATTTTCGTAACTAAAAATAAAGGACACGCAGAATGTCTGTCTGCTTTATAACTGATACTTGTAATTAAGTACATTTGATTAGAGAGATAGAAGTTGGAAGCTTGAGATGAGAGGTGGAACCACCTATCTGACAAAAATTAACATTTTCACACAGTCTCTCTCAAACACAGGTGAGTTGCTATTAGAGAGATAGTAGGAACTGCAGATGCTGGAGAATCCGAGACAACAAGGTGCAGGGCTGGATGAGCACAGCAGGCCAAGCAGCATCATAGGAGCAGAGAAGCTGACGTTTCGGGCCTAGACCCTTCATCAGAAAAGGGGAAGGGGAAGGGGGTTCTGAAATAAATAGGGAGAGAGTGGGAGGCGGATAGAAGATGGATAGAGGAGAGGATAGGTGGAGAGGAGACAGACCGGTCGAAGAGGCGGGGATGGAGCCAGTAAAGGTGAGTGTAGGTATGGAGGAGATAGGTCAGTCCAGGGAGGACGGACAGGTCAAGGGGGCGGGATGAGGTTAGTAGGTAGGAGATGGGGGTGCGGCTTGAGGTGGGAGGAGGGGATAGGTGGGAGGAAGAACAGGTTAGGGAGGCGGGGACGAGCTGGACTGGTTTTGGGATGCGGTAGGGGGAGGGGAGATTTTGAAGCTTGTGAAATCCACATTGATACCATTGGGCTGCAGGGTTCCCAAGCGGAATATGAGTTGCTGTTCCTGCAACCTTCGGGTGGCATCGTTGTGGCACTGCAGGAGGTCCAGGATGGACATGTCGTCTGAGGAATGGGAGGGGGAGTTGAAATGCAGGTGAGGGGCAGGATTCAAATTTGGTTAATCAATGAATCCTATAGGAAGGTAAGAGTCATTGAAAGGAAATAAAGATTTTGCATGAGAGAAAAAAAAATGGGATTTTCAGGGTCAATCACAGCAATAACAACAAAATAGAATTTCATTTGAGTCCAGTGATAATAGTGAAATCAATAATGAGATATGGACTAAGGTTGGAGCTTTATTGCAGTACTGTACCTAGGTAACATTCACATAAGAAGTTAAACATGGAATTACTTTAAAGCTTGTACAGGAATGTTCTATCGTTTTTCATTTATTCATGGAATGTCAGCATCAATGGCAAGGTCAGCATTTATTACCCATTCTTATTGTCCTTGAAAAACTGAAACAAGTCCTGTCCCTAAATAATAACAATGTCTAACTTCAAAAGCATTTAATTAGTTTTTCAGTGTGTTCTGAAGTTCTGAAATAATGCAGAATGCAATAATTATACAAATTATTTCTTTGTTGAGGTTAAAGTCCTCAAACTTAACTCAAGTTCCATGAATGCCACAGCATTTTCTTCAATAGTCTTGCTCTTTAACACAATATTTAAAATACTGATTAAATAACTATTATTTCTGTGTAAAAGTTCTGAATTGAAAAAAAGCCTTAAAATAATTTATTTTACCAAAATCATAAACTTTTCAAACGAATGCAAAATAGCAAGTGAACTTTTCCTTAGTTTACATCTGGATTTGATTGTAATTGTATTGGTATATAGCCATATTCTTATTTACTCTTTCCATTGGCAGTGGTGCATGAGGGAAACAAACCACATGCTTACTTATGCTTGCCATGGCTGGAATTTTCATGAATAGACCAGGGGTCTGTTGCCAGACGCTAGGTCTTGCGGAGCACCAGCATCAAGCTGAACAAGAGAGTACCCTGCTCTTGCTGCCCACCATGAGCATATTAAAATAACTTAGAAGTTGCCAATCTAGGCTATCAAGTCCTGAAAAAGAACTTGAACCTGAACTACTGGTCCAGAGGCAGGGCTGCTACCTACTGCACTACATGGTCTCTCCACATAACCCTGTTGGTGATATATCATTTATTATGTACAGATGTAGAAATGTAGTCAACATTGAGATTGCACCAGGGCTTTAATAACACAAACCTCATCTAGTCTATTGTTCTCATAGGCTTTTGCCTCATGATTTAAGTTGCTGTACCATAATACCATAATACCATGTGGAATAAACAAAATTATTCCGATAGTTGTTTATTACATGCTATATTATCATTACTAGAGCAGTCACAGTCTGCTTTAATTATCTCTCTGTCCTGATTTTACTAAAAACATAATTCAATGGGACATAATGGAATATCAAAGACTCCATAAAGTCATTTTTTTAGGGTAGCAGTATTTGAAAAGTACATTTGCTGTGTAGTTCAGCTGAAGTGAATGGACGTAACAGTTTATTACCCATCTATTATATTAAATCAGGATGATAGAGTTTTATCATTCAATGGCTGGATTTTACATTGTGGTTAGAACAGTGAAGATCAAACTCCCCTCCTGGTGCAGTTGATTGTTTTGAGATCTTTATTACTTTGATACATTTCAGTATTTATACGTAGCTTCCCTTGCAGCTTTCACCTTAGCACAAAGCAAATTCAACGGAACAAGGAAAAATTCTAGCAGCAAATCTACATGAAAAGAAAAGTGCATACTTAAAGCTAATGGCATATGCAATGTCATAATACATGATAGCTGGACTTGGGTTATGTTTTTTGACTGATGTGGTTTAGTAGCAGAGATAATGAGTCATCCTGAGAAACATTTTCTTCTTACCTACTTACCCCTGCAGTGGTATTGGTGTTGGCACTCTCTCAGCATGTCAGACCATTTACTTAGGGTTGGACCATGCAGCTGCTGTGAGCTTGCGCTAACTCTGTCATTGACTCCAATGAGCAACCAACATGACCAGTCCCTGAAGGTCATACTGATGGAGCTCTGACTATTGATGTGACACCCTTGAAAGAGCCCACAGCAACATTTAGGATCACTGTAAATGAGGACTCTGATACAGAAGCTGCTGGAAGTAGCATATAGTCCAGACTCAAGATTATGCTCAAAATACAAACCATCAAGCAAATTGTGTGTTGTTGTTTTCAGAGTTTCAAAAGACAAAGCATTGGATTTTACCACCACTCTTAGGATGACTTAGAGTCAAACACCTCTTAAAATAGCATGGGAAGGTGGGATTTTGTATTTCCAACATATTCCTAATATCCTTCCATCTGACAGTATCTGGAGGCATCTGATTGTCCTCCTCCCACCTAAAGAGGAATTGAGCCACTTAGGTGAATATTTAATGATCTCTTCTCACCACTGCTTCAATTTTACCAGGCACCTCTGCACCGTGGGAAACCTGCAACTTGATGCATCTTGGAGCAGCGCATAGGACAAGGGGTTTAGACCTCCTAATTGGACACTGTTTGGCTCATAGATGACCCCTCCTCACCATAGCAACAATAGCCATATCCATAATGTCAGCCCAACACACCCCACTCCCTCCTCAGGGCCTACCTGACTGATCAATACAGTGTGAAGCTGAAGGAACACAACAAGTCAGATAGCATTAGAGGAGCAGGAAAGTCGATATTTCAGTTTATACCCTTTTATCAGAGCTGGGGAGTGGGAAGGGAGCTGGGAAATAAATGGAGGGAGGAGGGTGGGGCTGGGGGAAGGTAGGTGGGATGGTGATAGGTGGATGCAGACAGAGGTTAGTGAGGATTGGTCAGTGGGAAGGGTGGGGTGGATAGGTGGAAAAGAAGATGAACAAGTAGTGTCAGGTCAAGGAGGCAGGATGAGAGGGTGGGTAAGAGGAGGTGTAGTTATGGAGTCAGTGGGATTGAAATAGACATCGGTGCCGAGATGGTTATCGGAGATGGAGATGGAGGTGGAGAGATCAGGAAGGGGAGGGAGGTAGCGGAGATAGTCCAGGTGAATTTGAGGTTGTGGTGAAAGGTTTTGGTGAAGTTGATGAGCTGTTCAAGCTCCTCACGGGAGTACAAGGCAGCACCGATACAGTCATCACTGTAACGGAGGAAGAGGTGAGGGATGGTACCGGAGTAACCACGGAAGAGGGACTGTTTCACGTATCCTACGAAAAGGCAGGCATAGCTTGGACCCAAAACATCAACTTTCCTGCTCCTGTTATGCTGCCTGACCTGCTGTGTTCTTCTAGTTCTACACCGTACTGACACTGACTCCACCATTTACAGTTCTTGCTTTTCCTATCTGACCGATCCCTGTGCTCCAGACCCCACTTAACTGATTAGACAACAACGTCCTTCCATGCCATCCTCTTCTTCCAGCAGTGGGCACTACTCCTGGCACAGAGGGACTGAGTTCTGGTAGCCAAAAAGGTGCAGCCATCAATCCCACATGTTACTGCAGCCTGCAGGTTGCTTTTTGGTTCAGGCCTGTAGACAGGAGTCCTGTTGTGAGACTAAGCCCAATGCTATCTCTCTCGTGTTAACAGGGAGAGCGAGATGGTTCGGCAATCAGCAAGCATGCTATGGCCTAAGCAAGGATCAGCAAAAATGAAGAAAAGATAGAAATGAACGCCTTGTGGATCCTAATGACAGTCCCCCATTTTAATAATTTTCCCAATACTCCCTATATTTTATAGTCTGACAGTAGGTAGGAGCTACAAAGAAGGGGCAAGAGAGCACAACTGGGGACCTGTGCGGACAAAGCCAATAGTCAATAGAGACTGAAGGTTTGGAGCAGCATTTAGGGCTGGGGGAGGCCGAAGGCTTCTTCTGGCCAACGAGGAATGTGAAATAACTGGAGCAATTCACTTGTTCAGTTGATACATCTAGCCTCACATCTGCTGTGGGTTATCTAGGAATCTCTCACTTACTAATACTAGTACCTCTTCCACAATGCATCAGGAGATCTGCCACCCATCTTCCCATTCCTGGAATGGAACTTCAAAAACATAATTACTTAGATGTGGTAAAGTGTTAGAAAAACACTTTCATCTTTAAAGAAGAACATTTCAATATAAAATATGGAAATAATGTTTAATATTTAGTAATAGATTAAAATGCAGAGATTAATGTGACTGTTTAGTTGTGAAACTAGAGCATGGTATGTGTGACATAAGTGAATATTGAGACAAAATACTGTGTGTAAATTGAATGCTTGAATACGAAATTTTCAGTACTATCAAAATACTTATTTGGGATTGCTGATAAGGAGGATTTTCATGAATGACTTTTAACTAAACTGGAAAGCCTGCTTCATTTTTAGAATAAGTTCCACATTGAATGCCACATACTCTTCGTATAATGGAAGTTATATTCTGATTGCTTTTTGCTCTACAGTTGAAAATCCTGGAATTGGAGCTTAAAGTTATCATAGAATCCCTACTGTTTGGAAACAGGCCATTTGGCCCAAAAAATCCACACCACTCCTCTGAAGCGCATCCCACCCAGGCCCACCCCCTCGCCTTATTCCTGTAACCCTACATTTCCCATGGCTAATCCACCTAATTTACACACCATGGACAATTTAGCATGGCCATTCTACTTAATCTGCACATCTTTGGACTGTGGGAGGAAACCAGAGCACCTGGCAGAAACCCACACAGACATGGGGAGAACGTGCAAACACCACACACAGTGGCCCGAGGGTGGAATTGAATCCGGGTCCCTGGCGCTGTGTGGCAGCAGTGTTAACCACTAAGCTCCAGTACCACCCTTTTTTCTTTTGTTCTTTCTCGTTTCCACCACCCTCGTCCCACTCCACCCCAGGCCGTCCCCACACTCTCCCTTTCCCACACCACCCCGTACCCCCCAAGCCCCGGTTGGAGCTGTGGACTTACCTTAGAAAAAAGTTACCTAAAGTTCAGATTCCGTTTTTAGATTGTATAGTAGGAGCTCATATTTCCAATGTTTCAAAGAATACTATCATTTCTAACTTGTTTTTGTTTTTATTTTCTAGGTGCTACTCTTCACTCAAAGGCTTGTGCATCGCCATCTCTCTTCTACTTCATATTTATCTATCCATTTATAGTCATTATAGCTCTTATCATCGTTGCATTTTATTTTTATTTGAGGCCAAAGAAACCGCAGAAACCTATTAATGAAAAGAGCTTTTGGACACCGATAGAAACATTCATTGACGATCCTAAGAGTGAAGAAGAAGAAAATGTAAAATAGCACTTCAATTTTTTATCTTTGCAACTCTCTATTGTTGCTATGGGAACTGTGTCGTAAGTGGCAGCAAGATATCACTTGTGGGGAAATATTCATAGTGGTGCCAGCCAAACAGAACATTAATTTTCATTTTCCTATAAACTAGAATTGATAAACTTTGAAATCACAAGCTTTCATAGCATAGCCCCTTCGTCAGATGAAGAAGGGACTATGCTCTGAAAACTTGTGATTTCAAATAAACCGTTGGACTATAACTTGGTATTGTTTGACTTCTGACTTTGTCCATCGCAGTCCAACACCGGCATCTCCACATCGTTGATAAACTTTGCTGAACAAGAAATGTATAAATATGTTTTCATTAGTTTTGCTGTAATTTGCGAGGAAAGCCAGCTTGTCTTCTGCTTCAAACAACTTCACTTCATTCTTTGTACCACTTCATATTATTGCAATCATTTAAGATTTCGGAACCTTCTTGTACTTTTCAGTACTTAAGATGCACATCAATAGTTTTTTCATGAAGATTTTGTTTTCAACCCTTTCCATGTGTTGAAATTATTGCATCCAATGCCCCAAATCTAGAGCACCTGTAAGTTTAAAAATAACAAAATAAGCAGAGTATTATATTCTAAAAGCCTAACAGGCCAAGCCCTGGAAAGCAATGTGATGCTTTCATAGAATTTGTGCTCAGGATCGGACTTGTCAAAACTGCTATACTAAATTGCTGCATCAGCAGAGAAGAATTAGTTATTCAGTATCTGGAAAGTGCATTGTCGGGGACACCGTATATTTAGTGGTTATTTTGTCACTAGGATACAAAGTATTTGTCCAAACCTTGAAGATAATGCAGAGCTGTTTACTCTCACTGCAGTGTGAGACTAGATTCATTTTTATTTGTTCAGTCTTAAAATGAGGTGGCTGAAACACACCTCATTGAAATACATAAGAGAGTGAAAAGTCTGGGAAAGGTACAATGAAAGCATATCATTCAAATCTCAACGATGCCAATAACAATAAGGAAGAGAAATGCCTAAATGATTATTGAAATGTTTGGAAGTTCTTTATGCAAAAAATAGTCAGTGTTGGTAATGTAACTTAGAGTGCTGGTTTAATGCTGAAATAAGGAATGGTGATAGTGGGGCCCTAAACGGACTATTGGAGATGGGTGAAATAACTTTCACCAGTCGAATATAGCCTGTGACCCCAGACATATTAATTATGTTAGCAGATAGGAAAGAAGCAATTTAAAATTTATTTCTGAAAGATACTATCAGAACATGGCAGGAGACAAGACTTTTGAAAATATACATCACGCTAAAGGCCTTAAATGTGTTGTGATGAGGGGCAGGATGGCTCAGTTATTCAAGAAATTGTAGTCCAGAGCCAGCCTTTACTGAGACAGTATTACATGTGACAGTTTGTATATGTGTGCAGTTGGAGACAGAATGTTTATAAGCTTTTCTGATGGCATTTATTTTTCCATGCATGAGGAAGCAGATTTTTAAAAAATAAATCTTATTTTAGGGGAATATGGTAATAAGGAAGGGATTCTGATTTTTTTTAAGGTTTATACCAGACGTAAAAAGGGGGATATCGAAGAGTTTTGTTTTTTCGTTTACATTGTTTTCAGTAGCTTTTTAATGTTTATACCTTTTTTGGCAATGTTTAGTATTATTACAATTGGGGAATTTTTGTGCGTAGTGAGGTATATTGCGTGCAGAATGATCAAACATTTAAGTAAAGTTCAACCAGCCTCCAGAATTCAGCGAAACAAGAAGATTAAACAATGGGGTAGGAAAAAGAGTTTGAAACATTTGTTGCAGTTCACGAGTTGCAAGGTTATAGACTCCTCTGCCAGCTTCCATACCAAAGCAAAACAAATTATTGACAATTGCTTTTTAAAAACTCCAAAGAACTATTTTAGTGCTCTAAGATGAAAGAAGGCATATCAAGGAAGTCTATATCAGCTGGCATTAGAATGCTAAGGTCCCAACAGCAGTCATTACTGGGAAGTAAAGGCCAACTAGTTTTATTGCTAGACTATTAATCCAGATACCCAGGAAATGACCTGGATTGTTGGATCAAATCACACCATTGCAGATGGTGGAATTTGAATTAAAAAAAAAAAGAAAATTATGAAATTAGAAGTCTAACTATCAATTGTTGGAAAGACCTATCTGTTCCACTAATGTCTTTTGAGGAAGGTAACTGCCATTCTTGTCTAGTCTGAACCCCAGACCCACAGTAATATAGTTGACTCTTAAGTGTCCTCTGAGCAATTATAAAGGGTAAATAAATGCTGGCTTAGCCAGCGATGCCCACATCCTGAGAATGAAAAAAAAAGAATGTGTGGACAACCATATGTGGACATGGCACAACTGAGGACCACTGCCTGTTCAGGTTTCTAATTGGCAGAAAGAAAGTTTCAAAAGTATGCCATCTGATAGAAGATGTCTACAGCCAATCAAAATAACTAATGGTAGTTTAGATCACATCACCCTCCAGTTCCTTTACGTCTGTCTCTTTCCAATCTGGCAATGGAAACATCTACAGTTTCCAGCTCTTCCTGCAGCACTTTGGACAGTGGGTGAAAATAGATTAGATATAACTGCAATGCCTTTGGTCAAACAGTCCGCTGACACTTGTCCTCCTGTTTCATTCAGAAAGAATAACAACATCAAATAGATATCAGAGGGTTGCAACAGTTGAAACAGAGCACAGATTTTGACTTAGTCTATCCATTGGGAAAGCAACAGTAGCTCCATTGCTGCTGAGACCTAACCTGGCTCGACTTTTTCTTCACAACTAAGCAAATCCCAATTTAAAAATTTAATGTACAAATGGGCAGAGTTGGACCTGGTCCCCTTGGAACTGGTGAATTTTAACAGGGTATTAACCATTTAAGGTACGTGTCTCGAATTGGTCAAAGCCTTTTGCTGGTAGTTAAAGCTAGTCCTTTATGTCTGCAAAAGACAGTGTTGACAGAAGAAATGGAAAATTAAAATAGTAATTATCTAGGGGATTATGTTCCATTAAATAATCTCTAGATGTTGCCATTTTTGATTGGCTTTATATGACTAAGATTTGTTTTTTATATATTATATATGCATATGGAGTAACCGCCTTATGCTGGCAAGTTAATTCTTAATAGGTCCATTTTGTACAGCTTCTAATTTAAAATTTCACAAACATTCTTTATGTTTTCTATGAATAAATGTTGAAAATTCTATCTTACAAAGTTAAAGTGAAAATGAGAGGGTGTTTGATTACTGTCAGATTTTTCAGAGGATGGCAAGTGAGAAGGTACACGTCAGCAAAATGGAGCATCATTCCAATTTTGATTCTGATTGGGTACAGCTACTCTTGGTGAAATCTGCCTCATTCTACAAGGGAAAAGTACACTGAGTTTGCAGAATGACTGACTATATTCAAGTACTTTATTTAAACAATGGCAAGCTGAAATGTTGCAATGCCATCAACTGTTAGTAAATCCCTTAAAGTCAATAAAGGCTACAAATTACATTTCCAAAACACTGTTGGTTTCAGTACTACGGGAGTCTGGCAACGACTGGGTGCCTGTGTCTAGTGGCTTATGGCACATTACACATCAATCATCATGTTCGAAAAGATGGCACACTGTTGGCATCCTGTACTTGTGCTGGAAGCATGATGGGAGGGCACAGTGTCATTCAGTCCGAGTCTATTAGTTATGTTGCACCAGACCACCATTCTGGACCTCCAGATCTTAAACTTGCACAGATGAACTGGTGTTTAAATGAAAAACTTTGTCCCCACATAAGCACATTAAAAGGCTTTGGATTGTCAGAAGATGTGATTTTGAAAAAAAAAGTGAAATGGTCCCACTGCTGAAGCTTGTAATTTATACGAGACAGTGGGATGATAATGAAGTGGAATTCGAGAAGGTGCCTAAAGCAAGAATTTGCGGTCATTCCGGATGGTTTCAGCAGTGTCAGATACTGCAAACTTTGTGGCCACCTGGTCCTGTAACTAGATTCTCTGCACCACTCTCCTTGCATTGGCATCTGTGCCAATCTGCATTCCCTTCAGATTATATGTTTCTTGAGCTGCTAAGCCCCTCTACAGAAAAAAAAATTGCCATGTACCTTCACTTTTTTCATGAAGGACCCCAGTGCTCTATCAGATAGCATGAGGGTCTTCTCTTTATTGTGAGAAACACTCTCAGATGCTGCTGCTCTTTCACTGGCTTTAAAGCAAGCCTGCATTCACATTAACCTTGCATAAAAGTAGGCCCCTACCGATACTCACCACAATCATGGAGATGAACAAGCAATGCAAAGTTTGCATGCTGTCTGCTTCACCACGATCCACCAAGATCATAACTGTGTGTTGCAATCTTCAAATGAGACCACAAGTGAGTCATATCAAGCTTTTAGCTCACAAAGCACAAGCTATTTCATCTGAAAAAGCCCAGCTTCCAATTCCAGCTCAGATGAAGCTCTGACTCTTAACTATTCAGTAATGAGCTAAATCGTACATGAACAGAATAGATGGGTATTTCTACACTCAATTCTGTGAAGGATGAAAATAACTATTCAGAAAGCAAGACACAATTAACATCATTAGCAATGTCTTTCCACAGACCCAGTGGTACATACAGTGATAACAAGGTGTTCCGGAGGGACATTTTTTTTCTCATAGTGTATTTTCTCCTTCCTTCAAATATTTGGATTTTGAAATTGTGCCTTTGCTTATTGTGATGGAGTTAATGATCATACAACTTCTTCACCAGGCAGCAAGGTTGGATAAAGAAAAAGTGATTGTAGCTCTTAACCGTGACCACAATACTGAGAAAAAGCATCAGGCAGTGCACACCAGGAAGTATGATTAATTTATTAATGACATATCACTGAATGACCTCAGCAAGATATAAAATGAAGAAGGAAAAGCACAACTTAAAGTGACAAATCAAGGGAAGATTTGTTTCAAACACAAATGTTGTGTTTTAACGGGTCAATATTTTAACAACTCATTGGCCCAGCAATCCTAGTATTACTCCTATTTCAAAGAACCATGCAATATCACACAATCAAAGAATTATTCCAACACAGAAAAAGACCATTCAGTCCCTTAAGGCTGCACTGTCTCTCTGCATAAGCAAGTCATCCAGTAAAATTCTCCCACCTTCTGCCCATAACCATGTACATTGCTCCTTTTCAACTAACTACCTAATTCCCTCATGAATGTCTCAAATGAACCTACCTCCAAGACACACTCTGGCAGTGCGTTCCACTCTTTAACAATTTGTCGTATGATGAAATTTTTCCACTTGCTACTTCTGCATCTTTTGCCAATTAGTTTAAATCTGTGCCCTCCCATTCACAGAGTTTTCACAAGTAGGCATTGTTTCTTCTAAACTATTCTGACCATATTCCTCATGAATCTCAATACCCCTATAAATCCCCTCTTTTCATTATTCTCCTCACCGAGGAAAACAGACTGATCTTTTCCAATCTATCCTCATAACTTAAGTTCCCTCATTTTTAGTGCAGTTTGGATTATTCAGTAAATGATTTCTAGTTGCAGAATCACAAATAAGTGTGGATATATTTTCTGTAGCTGGCAAACACAGGCTTTTGAGTACAATTAACATGCTATCCCCTGTAAATGGTTAATGGGGAATATTGTTTGAAACAGTACACTAGGAGTTGAGACATATGGCAAACTTACCTGAAATCACCCCAGCACTGAAACTCATATCATTTTACTCATTTGTGTAGTAGGCAAAACATCTTTTTTGTTCTGACAGCGACTAGCTATCTCATGCTGCAACTTTGTACTAACCTGTAAGTGGTTTTCTCCATTAATAGAATCCAAGGCTGTACAAGTTTGTAGAGGACTAGAAAATGCATAGATAACTTGGGACAAGTGAGCGTTAAATTTACTTCACAAATGATACCAAAATAACTGAAATGAAACAAAAGTGGGCTCAAGTTCTGCAGAAAGCACAAATCAAAGTGCAGTCACACCACACACTGAGTACTTTGCCCAGTTTAGCTCATTGAAATTTGAACTCAAACTCTAAGACAGCATAGCAAATAAGAATGATAACTAAAGCCTGAAACAGTCATTGTGAGTCATATAAAATGGTCAGGAATCCATTTGACATCTAATTTCACACGACAATTAATTTTACATTGGAATCAAGAAAATTGAGTGCAACCACATGCTGGTTAATTATGTTCCTGTTCTGCTTTGCTACACTACCCAATTTTACCCTTTAGTATTAGATGACCAAATAATGAGGAAAGACTGGGCAAAACTGAAAAGATTCAATTATGAGCAGATAGAGGCTATTCAGCCCATCAAATCTGCTCTGCCATTCAATGAGATCACGGCTCATCTAATAACCTTCAACCCTGCTTTCCTGCTCTTTTCCCATAGTTGTTGATTTCCTACAGATTAAAAATCTGCCATCTCAGCCTTGAATATATTTCACAACTTTGACAGCGCTCTATGGTAAAAAAAATTCCACAGATCCACTATCATCTGAGAGAAGAAATTCCACCTCATTTCTGTTTTAAACATGCAACCACCCATGCTGAGATTATGCCGTGTGGTCAAGGGGAAACATCCCTTTTGCATCTTTCCTGTCAAGTCCTCCAAGAATCATATATGTTTCAAATTAAGTGGGAATGAGAGACAAACATATCATCTAAGAGGGAACATTCAGTGGTAGATTGAACAAACAAGCTCAAAAAATGATTCTTCATATAAATTGTGATCAAAAAATCATAAATATTATACATCCAATTAGGACAGGTGCAACAATAGTGTCCCTACCTCTGAGCCAGGAGCCCCAGCTTCAAGTCCCTACTGTTCCAGAGATGAGTTCTAACATTTCTGAACAGGTTGATTTGAAAATATCTGGAGCAGGACCCAGGAAACTGCTTTGTATCTCCCTCTGGTGGTCAGTAGTGGTTTCAAATTTTTTATTTAAAAATGCAAGTCATGAGGAAATTCCAAGCAATATGTGTTCAAATAGGGGACACAATTGTTCAGGTAATGTATGTTGTTATGGACTAGACCAAACCATCTCAAAATATATTAGAAGATAGCCTAGACCCTAACTTTTTCTTATTTTAAAGCTAAGTATAAGGCATTGCGTTCCAGATGCAATTCGATTGGTCAAACTACTCAACTTTAAGCAAAACGCACTTTATTTTTACACTACACTACCACAGTTAAAACAACAATAAAATAAAAATGAAAGAAAAGAATTAGCTTAACTGTAACTCTATCGAATGCTTAACAAAATAATACATATATATGTAAACTACTATTAATTCTCACGTAGTAACAACTCATAAACATACTCTTGGAAAGGGCAAATTCAGTAAAATAGATTGTTTCTAGCAGCAAGAAGAGAACCCCAGCTTTTAGCTTCCACATTCAGCTTCAAGACTCAAGCAACTGCTGAAAGCTAAAACTAAAAATCCTGGTTCTGTGAAAGCTTGAACTGACCTATTCAAGCTGCTTCTATTGTTTCAATCTAAAAAGAAACAAGGCCTTACAAATTGTTTACTCTATTGGCTTTGGCCAACCACTCAATACCTCTGTCGCAACCTTTCTTCAGAAAAAAAAGACAGGACAAAATACATCTCTTAAAGACAGAGGATCATCATAGCATATATTTTTTAACCCAGAGAAAATGACAAAAAATACAAGGTGACCAGCATTAACATTTCAAAAAGACAACTCCTAACTTTTCTTAACACAGCTCAAAAAAATTCTGCAGATTCTAGAAATCTGAAATAGAAATAGAAACTGCTGAAAACATGCAGTAACAACTGGCAATACTTTTGATTACTACAAATCTGGAATATTAATTCAGGGATGAATTTTTTGTTTCTTGGCTGAGAGCAAATTACATTGAGGTCTTCAGAGGAATTCTTACTAAGAGACCCAGCGAGATTTCTCCCAAACATTACCACATTTGCTTCTTTAATCACCTAACCACCCCAAGACATCCCTGTTGTCTGATTTTAGCCTATCATACTATGTGTCATTCCCAGAAGAACCTGCCACTCAGTCAATATCTGCAAAAATACCACAGCCCTTGCACCATCTTTAAAAGTCTGTTTTGCACCTGGATGGGTGCTGGCAGTCCAGAGTTTCCCTGCATAATTCCTGACATCTGTCCTGAATGTGGCAAACAAGGGGAATTTAGCAGCCTGCTTTAGAGTCAGGGACCTGGAATACCCACTGGACAAGGTACTGCACAGACAGGGTGCCCACATCCCAGAAGACCATAAGATGTCAGAGAAGAATCAGGCCATCAGCCCATTATGTCTGCTGTGCCATTTGATATTGGCTGACATGTTTCTCAATGCCATTCTCTTGCCTTCTCCCCAGAGCCTATCAAGAACCTATCTATCTCTATCTTAAAGACATTCAATGACTTGGCCTCCACAATTTTTTGCAGCAATTAGTTTCAAAAACTAACCACCCTCTGGAGCAATGAATTGCTCCTCCTCTCAGGTCTAAAGGGT